AAGAAAATGAAACGAAAATCCGTTTCATCGTTAATCTATAATTCATTCACTCGATGTTACCCACTAACTCGACTAATGGCAGTACAATATCGGTACAACTCACTAGTTGATGGCACGGGTCCGCCTATGTACAAATATGTAATACCATATACCACATACCATTTAAATACATCACATATTTATCATTTTTTTTTTTTGTTATATATATATTCTTCATATAGATATATATATATATCATTCTTTTTTTTCTGTGACGTGGAGGGACTCGTTTGTACAATTCATGCATATCTTCGTTACTGTTTCATTGCTTCGTTTTATTCGTACCTTTCCTCGATTTCTGAGTAATCAGCCTCCAGAATTGCCTTTCGCTTTTACGCCGCTTAAATAAATCCAGAGTGTCAGAACATTTTTTCTTTTTTCTTTTTTTTTTTTTTTTTTTTTTTTTTTTTTTTTTCGTTACGTGAGAAAGAACGCGAGAAGAATAATTTCTTAAGTACATAATTTTACCTAGTAGATAATTAGTTTAAGAAGGTTAATTAAAGGATAACGTATAACCATTAAGTACATCGTCATTTTGTCCTTTCGTATAAATTCGTAACACAATTTGACGAAATTATATAAAATGTTACATGCTTGGTTCAATAGAAACGATTGAAATATTCGAATTATCCGATTATTTCAACGATTAACACACTAGTCAACAATTGACTCTCTGGATTTCAGTTTTCAGTTCTATTGGAATAGCTCGAACACTTTCCTCGCCCATTCCATCCTTCCATCTCTTTTTTTTTCTCTCTCTCTTTTATCACTAACTACGTCACGTTTTACCTCGAATCTCTCTAAGTCCGATTAAGAGTTAGATTACATACATATAATAAGAATTACATTAGTAGAAACGTAGTTTCTGTAACAAGTGTATTGTCTTAAATGATATGTCTGCTAATTTTGTTGCATTCGAACCTTATTCCCCGAACCTGACAGTTTCGGAATTCATATAACAGTTTTACACCTTAAACTGAACTTATTTTTAAGACTCGATCAATCGCCTAGGATCTTAGTTAGTTACAGTTACAATTATAGATTCGTCTAGGATCTACGATCTCGATTTATCGCTACACGATTTATCCACTTTTTCTTATCCACTTTACTGGAGGCCGTTCACTCAGAGGGTTATCATAAAAATCATGTGTTCTTCATCATGTGTTCGTAAAAGAAGTATATCCATGGGCCGTAATTATATCTGGTTAATAGCGATTAAAAAATAAATACACGCAAAAATTTTAAACGACAAAATACTATTTCGCTTCCCCCACCATTGTCTATCAAGTATTCGATCAACGTGATAAAAATATCTCTCTTTAAACGAAACGTTCGTTCGTTCGTTGCGTGTTCATGGAACGTTTTTTTTTTTTTTTTTTTTATAGGTACTTGCTGAAAATAAGGATCGATTTTACTTTATTTGCGCGATTTTCTCACTCGGAGAGATGGTTCTTTTTCCTTTTTTTTTTCTTTTTTTCTTTTTTTCAGATGGAATGGTGCCCCTGGTAATACGTCTTTCTTCTATCGATACGCAATTCTTGTCTGTAAATGAACGAATGGTGCGTGGCCGGAACGTTTATCGTTTGAACAACGCGTTACACGTTTCTTTTTTTTTTTTTTTTCATTTTTGCCAGTGAATCAGAGGGTTGAAAGGGGTTGGAAAGGATGGAAAACATGGAGGAAACGCAAGACACACACGCATAAAAGACAGACGATTCTCTCAAACGTAAGCTTTTAAAATTCAACTCGAATTCCTCTCGAATGTCGAACGTTTAAACGGAAGTGTTTTCGTCTAGATCTTTCGCATTCGTTTCTTCCTCGCTATCCGTTACGCACGCCATTTCTAATCGTAACGTTGCAACATTCTTCGAATTAAAAAAAAAAAAGGAAAGAAAAATAAAATTCAAAGCCATCGTTTACACGGATCCTCATTTTCTTTCATTTTCGTATTTCTCCTCTCCCCATTTCGTTTCCTTCCAAAACTTGGCAGATTCTTTTAAAAGTATCCTCAGTCACTTGCATCTCATCTTTCTCTCTCGCATATCTCCCCTTTTTACACGTGAAAAGTTTAAAAAGTTAAAATGTATATCATGATTTTTTTTTTCCCTTTAATTCCTTTTAATGGTAAAAGTTAATAAGAAGAAGAGTGTTAACAATAACAATATCTTTAAGGTAGAGTTAGAGCAGCTACGATCGGCGGATAAACTCTTGAATAACAATCTACTGAGTGTGTCGTACCAGTACGTATTGCGTATTGTACACGTTTCCGCGTTCACACGAATCGTGAAACATCGTACGAGGCTCGTGTCAACGCCACGTGTATCTTTTGTTCCTTGTTTCTTTTATTATTTCAATCGCGAAAACAAACGATGTTCCTATACATATATATATTTATATATATATATATACATATATGTATACTGAAAACAACGTAATGCAACATAATTAAAAAAAGCATAAATACAACATTGCGAATTTTATTGATAATAACGTACGTACGTAATCGAAACGAATAAAATAATCGTTAAAATAATTATTCAAAATATAAGAAAGAGAGACAACCTGTCGTGTTTTTTCATCTTTCAACACCGTACGTGATAATTTATAATGTCAAACAGAAACAGATCATTTAAGGCACCTTACATACAGGAACATCGTTACTTTTATTCAAGATGAAATGATAAAGATTTACGATAATCCAGACGACACGAAAAAAAGTTGTCGACCAAGAGTCTCGCCCCGTAGTCCCTAGTAAGGTAGAAAATCAAGCCAAGTATATATACTTTTATTTATAATATATATCCCTCCTAAAACAACCTAAAACCTAGCCTACGTTATATTTTTTATTTTTGCGTTTAAAATTCATTCGAATTGTACATACAGACACTGACTGTTTAGAATTATGTACAGGCATGTACACGGATTATGTACACATAGAGATTGATGATATAACGTTCATCATTGTTAGTCGATTAATAATAATCCTCTTCAACTTCCCTTCTTTCACTCCTTCCATTTCTCCAATCTCCATTCATTTTAATAAATAAACGCATTCTACCACGTCTGTCTGCGTTCGGTGCGCGAATATTATATATGTATTCATGGCTGTATGTATACAATCAATTATGTTACAGTTCGATCGCGATCGCACGATCGATCGCGGGCCGAAGTGAAACTTGAACAACGTGTCTCTCTCTCTCTCTCTCTCTCTCAGTTTCATTCTCTCTTTCTTCTATGATAGAACTATATTTTGCCTAGGCTACGAATCGTTTTCAAATTACATCGATCTGTTTATACATATGTATAATATGTATATATATATATATATATAATATATTAAAATTTATTCCGACACAAATATAGTTAATATATATATATATATATATATATATTTAAGTAACAGAGGTAACAAAAAATCTTGGGGAGCTTCAACAAATCTACGAACGTTTTTTTTTTCCTCTTGACAATTGATCGCTTACTTATCGACATTTAAATACGCTAATTTAATTTTAAACTAAGTAGAACTAGAGCGAACGTGCAACAAGTCGTAATTAATTTTAGAACAACGGATTCCGGTTCACGGATCATCATCTTTTTCTTAAATTAAAGAAATTCTTTTTTTTTTAATTCTCATCTTTTAAGACAAATTTTGATTACCTTTTTTTTCTTTCCATCGTTGAAAAATATTCGAGTAGAAATATTTTCACCATCTACAGTTAAATCTTAATCTCAAGATTTAAGTTTTCACGGATTCGTGAACCGATTCCCGCGCATAATGAACAGAGAAGAATAAAGGAAAAGGAATAATCTAAAAGATTTAATCTAAAAAAAAAAGTGAGGGCAACAGGTAACAGTTGTAATGTCTTGTGGCACAATCCAGGAAACATTTCACGTGCATATATATATATATATATATATATATATATATAA